CAATTCGTATATGAGTGGTCTGACCACTGGACAGAGGCACCGCACCAGAAGGAAATCCTGGGTTAAGTTTAAGCTCATCAAAAGTTCAGACTCAACAACACCTCCAGGAATACAACCAAAATTGGCAACCCTACTAAGGGTGCATCGTGCACAAGGGCCCAGGGAACCTGACTGCAGGGGCTTTAGCAAACCTGGCAAGAAAGGTGGCACAGGAGGGGAGGGTGCCTAGGGGATGGAGCAGTCCTATGCTTGCTGGGGGCAGGATGCAGGGTGGGATGGGGGAGTGGGGAGTGAAGAGCGTGCTAAGCCCATGCCCCGGGTGCTGCTGTGGATCTTGTAGGTATAGGGAGTGAACAGGCTGGAAATTGCTTCCCCCCTCCTCCTCCTCACCCCGCTGCTCCAGAGTTTAGCTGAGGGGTGGAGAGGCTTCCCCATGCCAGTGCTGTGTGGGGCTTGGCTCCTCCTGGCTAGTACCCCAGGCTGGAGGCTCTTGGGCTTTCCCAAGTGCTGTCCAGAAATGGGATGGAGCCCTAGTGGCCAAGGCCGGCACGCAGAGGGGGCTGGGCTGATGGACCAGCAGGGGAATGGCTGGCTCCACGTGCTGCATCTTCGCCCTGCCACCTGCCTTGCACATCCACCCCTATTGTTGGTCACTCGACCCCCAGCCCCTCACCGCTGGTGGGCTGGTGAGCAGGGATCCGGCTAGCAGCAGGATCCACCAGTACTGATGTGGGGAGACAAAAAATATAGGCCAATTTGCCTGTTTTTAAGAAAAATTTGGAACACCTGCAGGTGGGCTTAAATATGGGACTGTCCCTTTAAAAATGGGACATCTGGTCTCCCTACTGAACATCCTTGCCCTGCTCCTCCCCTTCTCTTAGGCCCTGCCCCCTGCTCACTCTCCCCCACCCTCACTCACTTGCTCATTTTCACTGGGCTGGGGCAGAGGATTGAGGTGGGGGGGGGTGAGAGTTCTGGCTGGGGGTGCAGGCTCTGGGGTGGGCATGAGGGGTGTGCGCTGGGGCTGAGGAGTTCA